TTGTAGACCATTATAAGCATTAATTTGTAAAGAGAGTCAGGACAGAGGGCACTGGAGAATTTAAGCATAGAAGTGCCACAATATGACTTATTTTAAAGGGCCACTGGCTACTGTTTTGGAATAGAGGAGTGATAACAAAATTTCATGACCCCTCTTCCTGATGACTATAGCATATAGTGGCATCTGCTTTCATTTGATATCTCCTATACTCAGGAGCTATTGTGATCAGGCTGTTCAACCCTCAGCTTGCCCTACCATTGCTTCTCCTGCAAGTCTTTTCTCTCCAGCAGCATCTCAACTTACTTGAAGGCAAAGTAATAATAATGTAGTAAAAAAATACTACATGTATTATAAATACATGTAGTAAAAAAAAATGTAGTAAAAAAAAATAATGTAGTAAAAAAATAATATAGTAAAAAAAATGTAGTAAATAATAATGTAGTAAAAAAAATAATGTAGTAAAAAAAAATTTTTTGAGAGGTGGGGGGTGGGGAGTGGGGGGAGGCAGTACTGGGGTTTGAACTCAGGATCTCACACTTGCCAGGCAGGCTATTACTTGAGTTACACCACCAGTCCTTTGTGTGTGTGTGTGTGTGTGCTGGGTATTTTTGAAATAGTGTCTTTTTTTTTTTTTTTTTTTTGGCATGGGCTGGCCTCAAACCACAATCCTCCTGATCTCTCTCTGCCTTTCCCAAGTAGCTAGTATTACAGGCATGAGCCACAGGTGGTGCCTGGCCAGCAAAACCTTCTTTTACAATGTTTTAAAAGAAGAAAACGTAATGTTGCAAATGTATAGCCTTGTTACATAGGTATTAGTAGATGCTCCATAAGGGCAGGGACTGTTTTTTTTCTTGCTCATAACTTTATTAGTAGTGCTCAGCACCACGCCGAACACATAGATGTTGAACATTAATGTAATTAGGGTGGACTGCACTGTTGTGAAACTAGCCACTTACAAAAGCTATTCATGGGAGAAGGCACTCAGTAGTGAGAAGAGAGGGCGGCATCAGGAAAACACAGTTGCTACCTTAGCTGACAGAGCTGAGTGTCTTGTAGTAGGAAGAGGGCAGCACAATGGGATAACTACTTCGTTCTTAAAGACTGTGGGATTCCTCAGGAATCCCCTGTAACTCTTCACAAGCCACCGCCCCACACTGAAACATTCCCTTGGACATCTTCCACAAATGTTTCCTTGTTTCCCTTTCTCCCTGACATGTGGAGCAGACAGCAGTTCTTAGAAGGTAGCAGCAAAAAACTTTACAAAACTTTTCTTGCTGCCCAATAAATGGCTGTCTGTGGATCGGCTTTGGGTGGCATTTATTATGTATGAAGAGTGATTTTAATGAGATAATCTGTAAACTCATTCTAAAAATGTAAACAAATTATTGTTAATTATGGAATGGTTACACAGACATGAAGGGCTGGAGGCAAGGGACTGTAACAGAAAATGGGCATGATAAAAACAGCATCTGGGCCATACAGCTCAGTTGGTTAGGAGACAAAGTCAACAAAGTTTGTTGGTTTAATTCTTTTGCCAACCAAGTATTTTATTTAGTGGGAAAAGTAAATTCTATCATTGTAGACTCCATCTTTAATCCTGGCTCATCATTTGCACTGTTCCTCAGGTGAACTCAAGTGAAGAATAGAAAATCCATTTCTATTCAAGGAAAATAAACTACTGACCTGTCAGATAATTTTCTAGGAAAAGCAGCACATTTGGCAGGAACATAAAGATGAGTATCAAAAAAGAAAAAAATATAATCTGATTAGCAGGTTGGTTAAAAGATGTTTTAGGGATCTCATTCTTGCCACACAGATGTTAAACAGAGGTTTAACATCTCTATTTAAACATTAGTCTCACTGGAGACATTCATACCTATGCTGCATGTATTTATTCTGGACTTCCTTAGCTTTAATCCTCATGGAAACTGCCATTGTCTTGTTTCAGAAAAAGTGGATGACTTGTTAGTATTTGTTGGTCTCACTGAGGATACTATTGTGAATAATAACTAATTTCCTAAAAAGGGCATTCATCAACTATGCACTTATTAGAATGGCTCCAACTTAACAGATACTACTGACATGCGAATATATGAACATGAATTTAAAGGGGAAGGGTAATCTAATATTTCCATAGTTTATAATGAAATATAATGAACTGATAAATCTAGAAAGAAATTGGGTTTCAGTGAACTAAAGTCTAGAACTGCAACTTGTTCAACTTCCTATTTGGATTTTTGAAAATATCCAACGTATACGAATTTTAAAACAGAAAACTTCTTAGTCTGTAACATTAATTTGTCATATCTACATGATTTAAAAAATATCCACTATTAAAAAGAAAACAAAACAATGTAGAACTTAAAGGGAAAATGGAAAGGAAAATGAACTAAGAAATATGCTTTAAAAAAAGTCAAAGAATATGATTAAGATAAAAAGGAGAAAAGCAGAGGGCTGGAGGTGTGGTTCTGTAGCAGGGAGGAGGACCAGAAGAAAACAGACTAGGCCAGAGTTCTGACAAAGTGGCAGGGAGATAGGGTTGGCATTGTAGAGAGATAAAACCTGAGGAATCTGAACATGGAGAGGGTCACATAGCACTGGGAGAGGAAAGTCATGTAACACTTGAGTAAAGTAGCCAATAAAATTGTATATAACCGTATGTGGATTAGGCCTTGCTTTTTGCTTCTGTAACCTGCTTGCAAGAGTATATAAGGTAAGACCCCTTTGTTCTTGGGGCTCAGCTTTTGGATATGAGTCAGCTGGATCTGTGCTGCACAATAAAATGTTGCTTACTGCTGAACTGCCTCAGTGTCCCTTAACTCAGCTTGAGATTCCTGCAACAGTTTAAGTGGTACTGCTCTTGCTTTGCGAGCGTAAAGCCCTGAGTTCAAACTCCAGTGGTACTGGGGTCCTGCCAAACAAAACAAAAATGGCAGGATAGGAATGCAAAAAAACAAAGGACAGTTTTTGTTATGATCCTGAAGTTCTGGGAAAAACATCAGAAGCAGAAGTTGGTTCGAACAAGACCCAGTCTTGTAAGTAATGTGCTTCTTAGAAATCAATCCAAACTAGAAAGGACTTCATTTCCCAGGTTTTCTGGAGTTCTAACTCTTTCTAATGTCTTTGCTATGGTAATTGAAAGATTATGTGATTAAATACTTCTTTTACCACATTCATCATTTTCTGCTGAAGGCCCCAAGTATTTTAATGAACTTCACAAAGTACTATGCCAGTCAAGAATATGTCTTGAAGAATATGGTTAGGTGATATTTCTTTCTTCTTTCACTCATGAAAAAGATACTAGTTAAATCTACAACAGGTCTTCACTATATACACACACATGTGTGTGTGTGTATATCTAAGTGTGTGCATATATATAACTTTACAACACATTTTTTCTAATTGATTTTGTTAGGTATTGGTTTATAATTTTTAAGTCTATTAAAATTGTTCACAATACTTTTTTCATTTCTGATAATATGAAACTATGAAAATACTCAAACCCTTAAACATTCGTGTCAGTATTTAATAAATAATATTATTCTTTTAAAAAGGCCTTATACTTTTCAAGTGTAAATACTTCAGCATATATCAAGAGCTCCGTTCTAAGTACGAGATTTTGCCAAAAGCAAAAGCACTCAATATATAATTTTAATAATGAAAACTAAAGTATTAGAAACCAAGCTGTGTGTGAAAAAAAAAAATCATTTAGGTGAAAGGGTAACAAACATTCAATTCAAGAATAATATAGCCCTGAGGGAAAATATGCATATGAAGGAAGTTTATGAAATTGGTTCAAGGCCTCTGCAAAGAAAAAATAATTAGTTCATTTTAAAGCTGCCTATAAAATGTTTTCAATATTGTAGTATGAATTATTTATAGAAAAATGTATGTCTAAACTTAAAGCTACTATTTTATTGAAAGACCTTAGTACTATGAGAAAAACTAAAAATAAGAATATATCATTTCATATATGTAATATTTGGATGATTCACTTCTAATAATATGATTTCCAAAAAAGTTAAGATTATCTACCTGAATTGGTAACATTTCATTCTACTCTTTTTCAAATTTAAGAGATTAAATTGAAAGCAAGATATCACTAACATTTTCAATTTCATACATATTATTCCTTAAAGTTAACAAATATATGAAGATGCATTCCTTTAAATCATGACTGTCTAAGCTTAATAAAATTTTTGGTGTTTCTGAAGTTGATGCAGAATATTCTAGGGGAACATCTGATTTCAGGTTTTACTATAATTGCACTATGTGCATTGTAAAAAAAAGTTCAAATGGGTTCACAAGACTTCTATTTAGACTATTTCTTTTATTTAATTTTCTGACCAATAGTTCATGTGGCACAGACTCTAGGGGAGGCCAGTGTTTGAATACTGTATATAGGCCTATCGTTTTTTTTCTTTTAAACTTTTCTTGAGAGAATTTTGAAATATATTGTGACACCATTCCTCCCCCAAAAAAATAGGAGATAAGTCTTATAAGTCCACACTCAAATTTAAAAATAAAAGAAAATAATTTTTAAAAGTCACTCCCGAATACCTCATAATTTTAAAATTAAAACCAAGAAGCCCACAGCAAAAGTGTACTTTACCATGTCTTGACTGAGGAGCAGGCATTGAAGCACCAATGACCAAGTGAGTTTCTTAACTCTCTTAGTTCTCAGTCAATGATATAGCAAACCATAATCTGATCAACTAGATGAAAACCTAAATTCTCCCGGAACAGTATCCTTGTTGTTGTACGTGAAAATTACACACAATAATGCTAAATAACTTTACACGAGAACTGTCAACTTCTGAACACTAGAGGGCAGTAAAGCACTAGAAGGAATATTTAAATTATAGATCTAAAAGCGGCAAAGGCAAGTCTGTACATTATTTTTTTGAAAGTAAAAATCATAACAATTTAATGAATTTATTCCTTTTTAAGTTGCTGAGGTACAATGTATTCTCTAGTGTGTCATTTTGGGTATAACTTACTTTGCAAAATCCAAATAAGAAATGTGTCCATGATAAAACCCTGGTTTCATCTCTTTCCAGGAAGTTATATTCTTTACAAAACGCACCTAAAAAAGAAGAACACGCATTACTTTAGTACAATTTAAAGAAAATGAAATTTTATGAGAACAAAATAATTTCCACTTAGGAACTTAAAACCAGTCACACCGTTTTAATGATTATGGAGCTGGATATACAGGTTTGGCCTAAAGAAAGTATAGTGTAATCTGTAACTACTAATTTATCATAGAGTTACTATCACTGCATTCAGAAAAAAGTAATGATTCTGAAATTGAAACTGCACAATGCAACCATTTGCAATGCTGTATACAGAGTACACTTATTTACATGGGGTGGGAGGAGGGTGGTGGTAAGTGTATATTTACCTCCTACCAACACACATACTAAAGCAAGCAAGCAATACAGGCACATTCTATGCATATTAAATGTTTTCTCATGGGAGGTAGGAGGGGGAAGGCTGTCCAAACAATGTATACACATGTAAGTAAATGTAAAAATGATAAAATAAATTAAAAAAAAATAAATGTTTTCTTCTCAGAGGCACATTACTCAAATTCAGTTTTACTCATGATTCAACAAAATTAGTACTATGATCAAAATGATTAAAGATGATGCTTATCATCTCTTTAAAGATTTTTTTAAAGAGTTAAGATCAGACATAAGCTTGCTAATTAAAATATCAATAAAATTAGAGATGTAATATACATCAAATAAAAATTTTAAAATATTTAAGTATTTCTCAATTTACTGGAATTGAAAGTATACAATAGGTCAGTTAATAGAAAATATGCTGAACGTATAAATATATTATTTTAAAAGAAGTGGTTAATGCAGAATTTGCTAAATCTAAGTATCACCAGCTAGCTACCTAGCTATGATATACAGTTTCTCAAAGGAAAGTGTATAGATTTTTGATAAGCAAATCTCTTCATGATAAATAGCATGTGGTTAAGGATCTCTTCTGGAGACTAGATAGAGTGCAGTGAGCATGGGTGGTGAGACTCATCACTCAACACTGCATGATGACATCTGCAAGCCATGACACCAGTCACAAGTATGAAGCTGCCAGCAACATACTTTGGACAATGTTATCAGTCTTTCATATTTACATTTTAGAAAACAGGTAGTCACATGGAACTATTCTTGAGCACTCACTACTAGATTAGTGTCATTAAGTAAACTGCAATGAATGAGGACAGCTGCTTTCTAGATAAGGTCTATTTATTGGAAGGCAGCTGTGCTCACCTCTATACCACCAAAACACTCATAGATAAGGCCTACTGGAGGAAGGGCATGGAAGGGAGACTGCAGGCAGGTACAAAAAACAGAAAATCAAAAAAAAAAAAAAAGGTTTTAGAATTTATTTTTAAGGGGAAGCATATACTAAGCATATACCCATACACTAAGAGAGGTGACAATACTAAGAGTCACATAAATGTGTTATTTAAAGTCCTCGTGTTCTTTCTTATTCAAATAAGACACCAGAGAATGAAAATACCAAATGACAAATGAAAACAAACAAAATATTAAATAATCCAAAATATTAGATAATCCAAAATCTGCATCCTTAAAGACAATTATAATTGAACAAGAAAAGTCCTTACAACTGGCACATAATGGTCAATTACTCCACATAATCCTTTAGTTCTATGAAAATCAGATTCAGTATTTCAGACAAAAATAAGAGGGAAATAGAAAGTAAAGAGAATAAGAAGTTAGAGTGGTGTTTAAAGGGGGTGATTAAGTCATATTTAGCAACTCAGCTCTGTTCTCCAGAAGCTGAGATTTCATGTGGACACAGTGGTATATGAGGGATAGGAAAGAACATCATAGAATGAGGTCTGAGAAATGCTGTAACAGAAGCCAAATGTTAGAGAGACCCATAGTACAAATATGGCGTATACTGTGGTGAAAGACTAGTAGAAATAAGAGTCAGGTATAAACGTCAAGTATTCTTTTTTTCTCCAACCTTCCTAACAATGGTCAGTATTACAATAAACAGTCCTGAGGACGAATGCTACTTCATCAGATGTGTCAGCAAGGTTAAATGGTCATTCACACTAATCTGGAAAACAGTTTGAGCATTAGAAGTATAATTTACATATTTCCAAAATTTCACTCCATATTTCTCTCTTCTTCAAAGCTGTTTTCCAAAGAAATATAAGCAGCCATGTGAAAACAGTATTCAGAAAAAAGGTTTTCTTTTTAAAGTACTAACTTACTTCTCCTTTTACATCATGTCTAATATCTGTTCTCTTAGTTCTACAAAATCTTCTGTCTCTACTCTTTCACCTTCATTTTGCTCTGTCATCAATTCAGTCCCAATTCCTTCTATGTTGTTTTCTGCCTTTTTGCTTCTCCTGCACTACTTGCTTTATTGTGCAGTTGTTTTTTTTCTGTTTCTCTACACTGGAGCATTATGCCAAGACCATGACATAAGACTCTGGAAATGCAAAGGAGTAGGAAGAGGAAACAGATTAGGTGAGCCAACTTCAATTCATTTTATGGATTCTTACTGACTTCATTTGGCACTAACGAAAGGGAAAGTTAGAGGTAAAAAGAAACAAAACCTAATAATATCAAATAAAGTTTAGGAAATTGAAAATTCTGGCTTAGGGAGAAGAAATAAAGCCAACACAGTGACTTTATTCAAGCAGAATTTTCATACTCAGATTGAAATATGCTATCAAGATACAAGGATGGCTATCTTGATGACAGTTAGATTATAGTACATGACAATACTGTTTTTTATGGTTAGCCTGGAGCACACCCTAAACTGTGATTTTGTTAGGTTTTCTAACTCAAGCAGAGTCAGGATAGCAAGTAATCAGAACGCACCTTAGGGAATGCACAAGCTGTGTTGGTAGTGGTGCTGTGTCTCCTTCGCTTGTTGAATCAGAAGGGAATCCGTAGCTTAAGACAAAGGGTAAGAAAACACCACCTCACTACAGGCCTCCTACATTTTTAATAGATTAAAAATGTACGCCACAACTATGATCACAAAACAAAACAAAAAAAACTATTTCCACTTTAAAAAAAAAAAAAGTACAAATGTCATCCTGAACATTCTGGCCAAATTCCAACTTTGTAATCTATTGAATGAATATTACTATTTGCTTGAGTGGTTACTATATACCAAATTTATGCATTTGCTTAACATAAACATGTTTTGAGAGCTTGTTTGGAGGTTCTAGCAGGGGAGCGCAGCTACTCGTATACCCTTGACCGAAGAACGGTCCTCCTCTATCGGGGATGGTCGTCCTCTTCGACCGAGCGCGCAGCTTCGGGAGGGACGCACATGGAGCGGTGAGGGAGGAAGGGGACACCCGCCTAGCCAGCCAGATCAGCCGAATCAACCCTGGCGATCAATGGGGTGACAGATGTCGCAGCCAGATTGCCCTCACATCCCATAAACATGTTTTGGATAGCCATGGATACTTTTATGAGACTAAACCAGAAAGGATGTTTTCTATACTACAGGGAAAACTGTAGCAGTTAGATAAAAATATAAGTTCAACAATAATAAAGGATATCATTACTGAAGCTCAGAGTGGTGGTGTTCAACTTTTTTTGTTGTTGCGGGGGAGTCCCAAATCACCTAAGAAGTAGGAGGCGTCATATTACCATCAAAAAGAGTGGTTCACTCTGCCAGTAATTATGATCATGGTGTCATGCTCAGTGAAGAAATACTATTAGAATCTAAACTGGCTTGTTTGTTCATTCATCATTTATGTAACAATAAATTTATGGAGTATCTACTATGTCTCAGCCACTATTCCAAGCACAACAGATACAGTGGTGAACAAGACAGACAAGGTGCCTGCTCTTAAAGAGCTCATATTATAACAGAGGAAAAGACAGTCAGCAGTAAAAACAATGTGTAAAGTAACATTATAAGCTGATTAGTATTATGAATAAAAGTGACACTGTTTCAATACTCTGGAAGAGGTTTTTTATATATAGATGACAGTTAAGGTTTTTCTAAAAAATGCCATTTAAGTTGAAACATTAAATGGATAACACAAAATGACTGAGGGAGAAGTCAGGAGAAGTGTATTCTAAGAGGAAATGATAAGTACAGAGGCTTCAAAAAAGGCTGGGTATTTAATGAACTAAAATGCTAGTGTGACTAGTGGTTGAGAAGTTGAAGCAATGGACTTGCTAGATTAAAAAGGGACTGTTGGCCTAGGTAAGGAATTTGGATTTCGTAGTGGAAGCAGGAATATGTATTTAAAGATAAGTAAATCTTGGGAAGATTATGTGTCTTTTCAGATTGCCACTGACAATTGTGGTCTAGGTCACTGCTGTTCAAACTGTGCTTGAAGGGCCAAATAACATCAGTTTTGGTATCAAGTGGAAGGTTTTTAAAAATTCAGAATATCAAGCTCTATTTTGGTCCTTCCGAATCAAATATAACCAGGGGTTAACACACATGATAGGCTGACAGCATTCATCTGAAGTATTGCTCTGAAAAGTTTCTGTAACTCATAGCAAACTATGGGCTCTAATGCAAACCACCAGAAGTTAGTTTGAGAGTGAACTGAAGAAACAGACACACAATATTAATATATACACACATATATTGTCCTATAGAGAATGCAAATCTTAGATATTTTCAGCGTTTTAACACAGAAGAGTTAAACAAGATCACAGACCTAAACACATGATAGAAAAGATTTAAAAAACATCATAATAGATGTTGCCAATTACTTTAATGACAAGATGTTATCTAATGCAAAGATATTTTCATGTTCACAAAGCAAACTCTTTAACTAGAAGAGCTGACTACCTGTCTCTTGTCAGTTCCTGCCTGCCTGCCTGTCTGTCTGTCTGTCTATCCATTTATCTATCGTGGAACTGGAGTTTGAACTCAGGACTTTGTACTTGCAAAGTAGGTACTCTACTGCTTGAGCCATACTGCAGTCATCTTGCTCTGTTCATATTGCCCTGGCTGGCCTTGAGATGTGAACCTCCCAATCTCATCCTACCAAATAGCTACAATTATAGGCGTGAGCCACTGGTGCCCAGTTTAATTCGTTTTTATTAACCAAGTAGAGCCCAACTCAAAAATATAACTCTTACGACTTAATACACTTCATTCTAGTTACTTAGTTTCCTATGCCTTATATTCTCAAGTGTTAATCTATTTGTTTTAGCATTTCCTTTACTCCAATCTTTAAATTAAAAAAATTCTAAACTACAGAAAGTAGAAAGAATAGTACAGTCTACATTCATATATTCTTTACCTATTCACTAACATTTTGCCACTTCCCTCTCTCTGTCCACATACATATGCATGTACATACTAATTTTTTGAACTACTTAAAAGTAATTAGCAGATATGCATACTTCATTCTTAAATACCTCAGCATGTATTGTCTATAAGCAAGGACATTATCATTTTTAAATCAAACATCCAATTATAGACCATACATTGCATTTGGTTTCCATGTCTCTTTAGTCTCCTACAGACTGGAGAAGCTCCCTTTTCCCTGTGTTTGGTTGTCCTAACACTGATACTCTAGAAAAGACCAGCATAGTTGTTTTGTAGAACATGAATTTGTCTGCTTCCTGAGGATTAGGTCCATACAAAACATTTTAGTAAGAAACAATTTTGGTTACATTTTGGTGAGATTACCATAAAGTGATGTTTTTTTTTTCTTTTTTGCAGTACTGGGGTTTGAACTCAGGGCCTACACCCTGAGCCACTCCATCGGTCCTTTTTTTGTGATGGATATTTTTCAAGATAGGGTTTCATGCAATTGCCCAGGCTGGCTTTGAACCACAATCCTTCTGATCTCTGCCCCCTGAGTAGCTAGGATTACAGGCATGAGCCACAGGCATCTGACCTAATGTTTTCTTTTAACTGTACTCATAGTTCCTGTATCTGTTTTAGGGTTTCAAATAAAATATAAATAAGCTCCTTGAAAGATAATGGCCTTACTTTTTCTTTGGTATCACCCCCAAAGAATGCAGTATAATCTCTGTATATTACATACTCAATAAATATACTGAACAGTTTTATACCAGACTAAAAATATTTGAGTTTTGCCTCTAAAATTTTTGAGAGAATTAGCCATGCAAACTGTTTGGCACAGTGTCCTAGTATAGTATATACAGTGAAGGCAGATATTAAGCAGGTTAATCCGTGAGACTATGAATAGAGTATAGTCACCTATTATATCCCCATGTATTTCTATGAGTAAATTGGACTTTAAGTGGAAGCTTTGGATAACAAATTTAATAAAAATCTCTTCTTTCAAGTCTCACTTGAGTTAGATACTTATTAGAAGCTATTTCTTAGAGAAGAAGTCATTTAATTCCTATTTAATCAGCTGAGAATAATGCACTAGCAACAATGAAAATATGATATTAGAAGTATAATTATAAGACATGGTTCAGGGAATATTGACAAAATATGGTGAAGTAATTATAGTACAATTTTAAAAGTTTACATTAGATGAAGCTTCCTAGATTGAAAGTGAAGTAAAAATGCAATCTCATATGTCATGAGGAGGAAAGGTAAATATGTTGTTTGGAAAACTGCTTCTACATAGAACAAGGGATAAGTAAATTAGATAAAGTTATCAGAGAACATACGTTATATAATCATGCCTAATTAAGACCAGGTTTTGAACTACGAGCTGACATTTGGAAATATGTCAACTAATGTTTAAGACTATTCCTCTACTCTGCTTGACACAAACATGTTTAAGTGTTGGTCATTATGTAATCCAATTGCTTTTAAGACAGCATTTATGCTTCTTTTCTTCTTCTGTCCTACATATGGCTAACAAGCTACTGAAAGAAAAACAGAATCCTTATCTCATCCAAGTGCAACAAAGAAAATGTACTACATGGTGCCTATGAATGTCATTTTTGGTGAGCCTCTGCAGATTTATAGTTCATAAATAAATGGTTGAGGTCATTGCCAGATATTATATAGCTGCCAGAAAATTTTGTAATGCTGAACACAAAATCACTACCAAACTCTGAACAAATAAGTTAACATTTTTCTAAAAAAATATTGCTGAGAAAATCTGAAATTCTTATGTGAGCATTAAGACATGATTCTTTTGAACCAAAGACTGCTTTTTCGGATATAGTGCAAGTAGATTTAAAACCTACTGCATACTGTACAAAACATTATTAAGGATGTTTGCCCTTGAGATATACAAATTGCATAATGAATAGCTTTTTATGACCCACTTAGCTAAAAAAGCTCATGTTTCTTCTATTTTACAGAATTATTTAGTTTGGCTGACATGTATATTTTTGGTTCTATGAAAAAAAAAAAAAAGAGAGAATCCTGCAGAGAGTCAAAAACCATATGGGCAGATGATATGCCACATTTACCATTTGCCATTTGCATTTACAAATAGCTGTCTGGCAAGAAGGCCAGCCTTAACCTCATGTGTTGATGCTACTCTCTTGCTTCGGTGTAGGGATTACAGCTAAGCTTAATAATGGGAAAATGGTCAGTTTTGTAATAATAAAGTTTAGCTGCTTTCAAACATATAAATACCTATACTAGGATTATACCAAATACCTTTCTAATAAGGCTATGGTATTTGATCCTAAACAGTGTTTTAAAATATTTTATTTTTATGAGGGTCAAATTCCCATCCTCTTCAACATTTATACAAAGAACTTTACTTATAAATATAGTCAGAACTTCAGGTATGGGGGAAATGTATGCTACTGCTGATAAAGAGATGAATAAACTAGATTCATAAAGATAATTTCCTCGACTTAAAACTATTTCATACAGTTATCTGTCCTTCTGCTTACCTAAAATTTTGTGACAATTTAAAAGGCAAGATTTTATTAAGGATATAAGCCACAATCCCTATTCTCCAGAGGTTTACAGATAATATTTACATAAATTATTGAAGATAAGATTCAGGAGCTTAGACACAAAATTGAGTGTAAGTATTCAATAAGTAGTTTTGCATCATTATTATTATTGTATTATTTTGCAGTACTGGGGGTTGAACACAGTGCTTCACGCTTGCTAGGCAGGTGCTCTACCACTTGAATCACTCTACCAGCAGTCAATAAATAGTTCTTATCATGTGTTGAGACAATAGTTTTTTTACAGGGCATCTTTACAAAATATTTCACATTTAAAAAATGGTACTACATTGAAGAACACCTACATTTTCTTCAAAAATTCAATTTGTTTACTTCACAAATATTTGTATACTGTATACAACAAAATACCATAGTCTTATAACCATGAAGATTATAAGACATACAAAAGTTAGTTGAGATCAGTGTACATATTCCTTTCAAATACTTTATCCCATGGAGATGTGAAATTTGAAGATGTACCTCAAAACCTGTGTGCATTCCTTAAAGGGTAATTACCTGATCTTGCAATGACATCACTGGATTGTTTTTGGTAGTGTTGATGTGAAGAACATGGTATTTATTCTTTGCACATAGGTCATAGGCGATATTGGTAAATGAGGTGCTTGCAGTTTTGGGAACTCTGTTATAAATGATCACCATGTCATCCTCTTCATCTAATGCTGTGTCTTGCCGAGGTCCATCCATTGTGTGTCGTTGTTCAATTTCTCGGACTTCATGCCTTGCAATTGCTCTTTCTGCAAAGAAAAAGACAACTATGAAACTATAAGGAAGTTATGAACAATGAAATCTGGACTGTGATAAGAAAAGAGAAAAACAAACTAAAGAAAAGAAAAACAAAAGCCGGACCAACTCATATAGGAAATAGGGTGAAATTGAGTTTTTGAGAGGATAAATCAGTTAATTCTAAAACAGTTTTAGCCCAGAACACAACATGCACATTCAAAAACTGTGTAAGAGAAGTTGAAAACCGCTATGAGGACCAAAGTTTCAGGATTACTTTTAAAAAGGATAGTACAGAATGCATATCAAGAACAGACTAAACAGTCATCAAGTTGAGAACAGCAGAGACCAGAGAATACTTTAGAGCAGTTCCAAAGTCACTTTATGTTCTAACAGAATTTTGCAACCTGAATTAATTTCAAGCATACAAAGAAAGAGATTGTATGGAATGCTAAACTTCTCAGTAAAAATGCATTAAGAAAAGAAATTACCTATAATATAGCAAGAATTTTAAAATTTATAACTTAGGATTTAGTCACTCCCTGATTCATCAAAATTTATGAGGGCAACAATTACAAATGCTAATATGACTTTAGGTAACAAGATCAGAAATACCACCAACTCCAAACAGTTTCTTTTTTGGGTGTTGCATGATATATAAACCCTGGCTGTGTTCATTCCTTAAAATGCCTTGTTCCTCTAATCCCAATCACTGGCAACTATGTGGTTCCAAAACCAGTTACATTTTTACTTTCTATTTAATGTAAACTTCACTTTCAAAATTTTGTTAGAATAAGGAAGCAAGAAATAGAAGAAGGACAACGAAGAAGGAAATGAGGGGGAAGATATCTTTAAAAAGATTATAAGTTACTGTAGACAAGGACAGTTGTTCACACATGGTGTGTACTAAATCACCTTATCTTTGTATAAGATGTCTTACCTGCCTTTAACACTCTTCTGTTCTCCCCTTAACTCAATCCTGCTAGCTCCTTAATCTTTGCATTTGAATTCCATTACCACTTCCCAGGAAACCATTTTCTGATCTCCTCAACTAGTTTGTCATGTTTGTTTTATTTATCCTAATTGTGATTTTTACATTATATGTGTGGTTATTTGTGTCTCCCTCCTATATAGCTGGCAATTTAATAAAGTGATAAGAAACAGCAATGTAACATAATTTCAAATTTAGGCTTCAAATATTGTTGGAGCACACATCTTAAAATTCTGGTTCAGCAGATTCGGTCACCATGTTGCGCTGAAGATTCAAATGCAAAAGACTTGAATTAAAAGTTCTGGGCTGCTACTTACTAGCAGTGTGCTTTCTAAAATAGCGGAAGAGCACATATGGTATATGTATATATGTGTGGGTATGTATATATATATAGATACCTATATATATATATATATATATATATATACACACACACACACACACACACATATAGGTATCTCTCTACACACACACACACTCTTTCTTTTTTTGGTAGGAAGATAGGAATAGGGAAAAATAATGAGCTTAATGCTAAACACACCACTGAACTGCTTGGAAAATCCAGGAGATGCTATGCATAGGTCTAGAGCTGAAAACGAAGGTTCTAGCAGAAGACAACTGGGTATAAACCATGAGGATGGATGAAGCCACTTACATAATACAGAATATACAGCATGGGGACCTCAGGATAGACTTAGGAAATATCAATATTTAAAAGGCAGGTAGAATAAGACAATCCATAAAAAAGGCTCAGAAGAAACAGTCAGAGAAAGGTGCCATGAGAGCCTTTTAAGAAGTGTCTACCATAATATTCTTCAAATCAACACTACTTTAAATATAAACTTATGGATAATGCTGATATAGATGCTATGAGCATCACACATGCTTTGGAAGTTGTCTTAGATTAAGTTCAACAAAATTTATTGAGAATCTATAAACATTATTTTGTTCAACAATGCCGTAAAATCTCAAACTGTTATCACACTTTAAAAATTTACGATATTGTTATGTCCACAACTAGAGGACCTATAGCAGTGTTGTTGACATTCAATTGCTCACAAAAGTGTGAGAGATTTCCTGGAGTCCAGATATGTGTGGAATTAATATTCAAAAATTCACTTACAGTCAACAACGCTGAATTTATTACTCTCACTAGTTTTTTTTTTCTTTTGAAACCAACCATTTGGAAAGTAAAACAGATTTTATATGTTACCTCATAAATTGGTACCCATTTTATCCATAAAAGACATGATAAAGAAAAGCTGTAATACTGTTCTTCTGATACTGTTACCCAAATCATTCTCCCTGAACTAATCACTATGGGGAATGACAAAATAAATTTTTTCTATATGCAAGGTTAAGGGATGGTCTCTGATAGTAAATGCTTTCTTTTGTGGTTTATAGAGAGTCAATAGGAGATACTTGTAAGTTATGGTTATGTGGATCAGTCTATTAAAAAAGTTGACAGTGACTTCTTAAAGAATACACCTACAGCCATTACATTATATTGTTTGTTGTTCTTTTCGTGGTACTGGAGCTTGAACTCAGGGCTTTGTGCATGCTAGTCAGGTGCTCTACCATGAGCTGTGTCTTCAAAGGGAAGCTCAAGCTAGTTTCAAATTCATGATACTCCTGCCTCATCCTCTTACACAACTGGCCGAACCCACCTGTTGATGGAGGACTTATACCTCCACGTGGCAGTAACAAACAGTACCGCCTCTTCCTTGCTAGAGTAGTATCAGAAAAAGCAAAACTGACACAGAAGTTTAAATAACAGACTCATATGTAAACAAAAATGTTTGAGTTTCAATAAATACTGCTTATATACTAAGCACCAGGAAAGATCTTGAATTCA